TAACACGACTAAATCCCAAACCCTAAACCGAGTTAATATAGGGGCCTTGATAATTAGAATAAGGTTTTGGGGCCCACTATACTATAATCATAGTAAGGAACCCCCAAAATAGTATTGGTAATTACTTAGGCCCCCACATTATCCCTTTTTGGGGGAGGTTTAGGGTTCAGGGCTTGAGAAGACAAGGTTCAGGGATTGGGGTTTTGTGTTTGGGGAGTGGGGTTTCGGATTTTTGGTGGTCGGTGCCTTTTCGAGTTTGGGGCTTGAGGCGTAGGAATTACCAGTCTAGTTTGGGGGCGTAGGAATTCATAGTTTCGGGTTTGTGGATTTCGGATGTTGGAGCTTTGGGGTTCGATTTTTGGCTTTAGAGTTGTTGTAGCTTTTGGGTTCTGCAGGTTTCGGCCTCGGGATTTGAGGCTTACAGTAGGTTTCGGGGTCGTCCTGCGCGGTGTCGCTCCTTCCGATCCTTTCTCGTCCCCTCCTCCTCCTTGAGGAAGGCATCGTAGCCTGGGGCGCATTTTCTGCAAGTGGCTTTAAGGAATGCGGCAACAGCTCGCATTCGTTATTTCCAGGTTTACTTCTTTCGGAGCCCTCCCCAATCCGGCGGCAAGTGGCCACAGCTGCGTTCCACAACGGTTACTGGTGCCGGGGCTTTGGCCCCTGTGGGACCTCGCAGGCAGCCCAGCTGGGTCAGGGCCTGCGCCACACGCTCCACCTGAGCCGTTCAGGGTTTGGGGTGTAATGCCTTGGGGTCCACAGCTTGATAACCGCACCACGCTTGAGAATCTGTCTGTGAGAGCATGCGACAAAGAGGGAGCGAGATAGACGGAGAGAGAAAGAAAAAGCGAGAGAAGGAGAGACAGAGAGCGGGAGAGAAGGGAGAAACAAAGAGAAAACCACAGAGAGGCATAGTCTACGCTTGAAACTTGGCTCACAGGTGGCAGCAACATCTACTTATGAGCTGTCGCTACAAGAGGCTTGACCTTGCAAGCACACAAAACCAGCAGAAAGGGGGCTGCAGGCTGTGCAGTCAGCGCCCCTATACTTACTCAAGAGAGGCATAGAGAGAGGCGGAGACACAGACAGAGACGAGCAGGCTGAGTTGAGGTTTCGGGTTCAACAAAATCACAGCACTTTCCCAATCCGCCTGCTCCCCTTGCACTTCCACGTCTGCCAGCGCACCCTTTGCATGCACGGTTCCACCGACACCCAGCAGAGTCGTCAGCGCGGTGCAAAGTGCCCTGGCATTGCCCCTCACACCGCTGATGACCTCAAGACGCACAGACCCTGCAAAGCTAAAACGATAACGACACCAAAAAGAAACCCTAAACTCTTACCAAACTTTTCCTAAACCAAATTAATTCTTGATGATCAGACAAGGCACCGTCACCCGCTTGCCTTTGGCCCGGCGCTCGACGAGGAGAGGCGGCTGGCCGCCTTTGTCCGCGAAGACCGCGAAGCCACAAGATGGCAGGCCCCCAGCTTTGGCCATGCTCTGGGCTTTTTTTTGTGTCTATCGCTTTGTCTATTCATATACTTACGTACTCTCATATGCACCCGACGACGCTTTTGGGGTGGGCGAGCTGAAGGTTTGCAGTTCGGGGTTCTGGGGGTGGCTCGAGGTTTGCTTTGGCGCGCTCTGGGCTTCTGAGCGGTTTCAGGGCTTAGGGTTTAGGGTTTAGGGTTTAGGGTTTAGGGTCTGGGCTTGAAGACTTCGAAAATTCAGGAGCATCGGGAAGGGAAGGGGGCCACAGGGCATCATGTCTGACAGCTTCGGGAGATGAGCAGCCGAACAAGCTCGGAGGTCTTCACCAGCCATGCAAGCGGGAATGGTGTTTAGGCAGGTTGCAAAAGGCAGGTTGCAAAAGGGGTTTGTATATGGATGTTCCACAGTCGCTGCCAACTTTATCTAGTTTATGTGTAGCGGACCCTTTGACTGGGCTGAAATCTGAAGAACAGTCTTCGATCCACTCTATGCCGCAATTGCATGGCGGTTTCAAAGCATGTGCTCAGCTGTTGCGCTGGGGATGCCGGGAAGGAGTCTCTGATTTTCTGTGTAGGGCCTCCCCAAAACCAAATACAACAAACAGCCCTGAACCCTAAACCCTAAACGAACAAACAGCACATGTTTGACATTTCTGTCAAAGGGTCGAACAACCTTTAAAACACCCCCGACTCCCCGTAAAACCTTGCATCCTAATCCCCAAAGCCCCAAGCCCAGGAGCCGTAAGCCCCAAACCCACAAACCCTAAATCCGATAAAAAGCCCTTATTCAAAAAACTCCAACAACCCCTACATCCCAAAACCTCGAACAACCCATATACAGAAGACCCCCTTAACAGAAAGCCCTGCGGGATCCCTTTTCCCTACTGGACCCCCTAGTTCAAAGCTCAGGTCATGGCTGGGAGTTGGGTGTGGGCGTTCCGGTGGTCAAGGCTTTTCAGGGTTTAGGGTTTAGGGTTTAGGCTTTGGGGTTTAGGGTTTAGGGTTTGGGGTTTAGGGTTTGGGGCTTGGGGTTCAAGGTTTGTCGCTTCGAGGGTTGAGAGCTTGTAAGCTTTGGCGTGAAGATAAGCCTTGGAGCTTAGAGTCCAAGAGTTGATTTGGGGGTCAGGATTAGGGGTGTGATCTGAGTGTGGGCTTCGAGGTGTGGAACTTTCAGGCTCATAGAGCATTAAGGTCTGATGGTCGAGGACTCTAAACTTGAGTTCCAAACCCAAGTAACCCTCAGACCGAAGACGCACGTCTCAGTCTCAATCCCTAAATCCCAACCCGCGTACGAACGCAAGAGCAAGCACTCCAGGCAGCAGGGCGGTGCCTTCGGCCGTTTTGGCACTCTGCCTTTTCCACTGCACTTGAAAGTCATACCAATAGGCGGCTCGGTGGCTCGGCACTACAGCGATTTCCTTGAGCGGTGCCCCGCGGCATCTAATCTAGCCGCGGAGCTTTGCTCCTGCAGATGTTTGCACGAGACGTGTTGAGGTCGGAATGTGCTTCAAGCAGGCTCTGCATGTCAGGAACCCTTGGAAGCTAAGAGTGCGCATAGTGAGGACAAGGGTATGCCGCCCATATCTTTCAGCACTGCTTGAACACTGCAAGACTGGCGGTGCCTTCGGCGGTTTTGGCACTCTGCCTTTTCCACTGCACTTGAAAGTCATACCAATAGGCGGCTCGGTGGCTCGGCACTACAGCGATTGCCCTGAGCGGTGCCCCGTGGCATCTAATCTAGCCGCGGAGCTTTGCTCCTGCAGATGTTTGCACGAGACGTGTTGAGGTCGGAACGTGCTTCAAGCAGGCTCTGCATGTCAGGAACCCTTGGAAGCTAAGAGTGCGCATAGTGAGAATAAGTGTATGCCGCCCATATCTTTCAGCACTGCTTGAACACTGTAACACAGTCGAAAGCAAACGGATGTCCCGAAAGGGTTGTGGACGCACTTCCTGTGTGCTCATGATCCTCATTGCGGCTTTTCATCGTCATCGGAGACTGATGGTGCGAAAAAACATTCAAAAACAGCCCCGATAAACCCCTTACAGAGACCGTATAAAACCCGCGTGAAAACCTGGAGACTCAGCAGCCGAACGCTGAACTTGGCTGCAGCAGTACCAATTACCCACGCGCTAAGAACACCAGCACAAGTAAGCCAGAGACTCCAATATCCCTTAATTAAGGAATATACCTTAAATCATATTTGGGATCCTACTGTCATTTAAGGTATATTCCTTAATTAAGGGATATTGGAGTCTCTAGTAAGCCTAAGGCAGATGGGCGGTGCCTACGACTTTTTCACTTTGCTGTATAGTAGCTGCCAGCCGCCGATGCGTCTGCCGATTTGCGGAGAACTACCGGTTTAGGGTTTAGGGTTTAGGGTGTAGGGAGAGCTTCAGGAAGCCACCGTCCGAAGAAGCTGGCATTGTCACATGGCGGGCGCTCCGCCTTTTCTGGTCTCATCTTGCCGTTTCCTTAACGGTCACGGCACTGCCCTTTTTGCGATTTCCATCGTCATGGTTCTCGCACTCTGTGCTCGGGCCGGCTATTCTAGCCGCAGTAGCTTCGTGTCCCAAAAACGTTGTGGACTCATTCTCATCCCGTCCTCGTCCTAGTCCTAGTCCTAGTCCTAGTCCTAGTCCTAGTCCAGTCCTCCTAGTCAATATCCTCATCATGAATATCAATATCTTTATCATCCTCATATCGAGGACGAGTTGCCGAAACGATTGGTCCGTCGACTTGTTCTTCTCATCACCACCACTCTGAGATGTCCGCAACGATGTGGGTGTGAGGCACACCAACATGGAAGCTAGGATTAGGGGGACCCTTGGGGATATAGACCCTCTCAATAAGGTCCCTTGTAAGAGAGCCAAAAGTTGGGTTCAGAAGGGGTACCCTTTAAGGGGTACCCCTAATAATACTACCTACAACACAAGGATCCTACCTTTGGAAACTCTGGGGCTTTAGGGTGCGATGGCCTCTGCTAGCGGAGGTTCTCTTCTCTGCAATCTATCTTGGATCCTTCTGTTTAGGGTTTAGGATTTAGGATTTAGGGTTTAGGGTTTAGGGTTTAGGGATCCTTCTGCTTAGTTTAGTTCGTGTGCCTCTCATGTCAACTATGCACACTACTCCGACTCACAATTTCTGATCGTCCAAAGCAGGTTTGCAAGGGGCAGCCGTCAGCTTCCAAATCCGAAACCTCGTGAGAAACACTATCGACTTGAAGCTCATCAGAACCTCCCCTTGCAAACATCAACGCGGACGGACGAGCCCTAACGCAGAGCCGGGGGGGTCTCAGTCCTGAATCATGCCATGTCGCCGCCGAGGGGAGGAGTCTGTTGCTACATCGGGCCTCTGTACAGAACACCAAGGTACGCTCAGTCCCTTCAAATTTATTGTGGAAACGAATTGCACCTGCAACTACTCGGGTTTATGGTTGACTGTGGATATTGTTGTGGAATGTCTTGGAAAGGCACAGGGCTATTATGAGCAGCAGTAGGATGAGAGCATGTCGGGTCGTGGAGTGTAGGGGTGAAAACGAACTGGAAGAGATGCTCTCAGCAGATTTTAGCATGTGCTTATCGTTTCATGCAGTATCGCCAAGACGGGCTCCACCGCATGAAATCGCGTGCGGCCGGTCTGCGAGAGAGCGTCGTCCCTCCGAAGTGGAGTCACGCGGATCGCCTTGGTTGAGGAAGACAGACACTCACTACCACGTTGACCCTCAACCCCACACATGAACCCAATATGGGAGCTTCAGGAAATTCAAAACCCTAAATAGTAGGCTCATGATTCTTACCCCGAATGAGATGCCCTGTTTGGGAAACCCTCGAAGTTTCCTCGGCCGTGTGACCCGAGCAAGGCCTGGCGAAAGCCGCGCAGGTACTCCTCGTCGATCTCAGATCCCTCGCGGCCAAAAGTTTCAGACTGTTTGAAAAAAGCAGGGTAAATAGAGGCATAATTACTCAAACCAGCAAGCAAGCCACCCATAGCCTTGCTTACAAAGCCCCCTGCTCCCGCAGGGGCAGGGCACTTCAAGCTCTGGGTTCCGCAAGAGCTCATGTTTTAGGCTTGGGGTGCGGGCCGCACTGACCTCGGAGTTTTGCATAGCTCTGCAAGGCACAGCACCCGGTTCGTTTGCGCAGGAGGGTGAAGACGGGATAATACGAAGGCCTGTGCACATCTATGTCGAAAGAGCTTAAGTCAAATATCGACGAAGACTTATATCATACGTGCTTGCACATGCATGATTTAGATAGGAAAGCCCATACACAAACTACACAGACATGCACTCATGCTCGTGCACACGAACAGCGGCAGAGAGAGAGAGTGTGTGTGTGTGTGTGCGCACAAAATCTGCAATCTCTTTGCGCGCGCGTGCATATGTGCACATTTGTGTGCATATGCGTGTGCTGACATACAGGTATCATTTACTGTTTACTAGTTCTTACAAGTTTCAAGTGCATGTGAGGCATACACGTGCATGTTGCAGGTCGCTGGTAAGACAAACAAGCGGACATACAGGGACAGACAGGCACAGACAAAAAAGCAACGGACACCCCGATGCACGGACGGATGGATGGATGGGTGGGTGTGTATTCAAGCTTGTCGTTGCGATGTGCAAGTTTGGAAACTACAAAGCCACGAGTCAGATACTAGTATACTAGCGATCACGCCAAAATCTACAAGGACTCACCTCTGGGCTTTAGACACTTTGTACACACTGACACATCTCCAACCATAAACGCACTACCCCGCAGCTACCCAAAAGCAAAATATCTGAAGTCGGCGCATCAGGATCACAAGCTGCGGCTGCGAATGCCGGATTTTGGGGAGAAGGCCTAGATAATGTGGGTCCTGAGGACCATGAGCCGCGGCGTCTACGATAAGCCCTCACCGCAAAACCCCTTCACTCCAAAATCCTAAGGCGACAAATGCGGGAAACTCTCGGCCCGGAACCTTCGCATACCACAGCCTGAACTTCCCTACCTGCCTTGAATCCGACACCC